TCGAAATAACATCACGTTTGTACAATGACTCTTAAAAATCTGCAAAGTAAAAAGCAGAGCAACTGAAAATTAGATGCGCCAACTGTTAATTGAAACTTGAAAAAGAACTGAGGAATACGCCAGGAAAACATTTGGAATAAACGATTTACTTTTAAACGATCAATAGTGCGTGGTACGTTCAAGTGTATCGTGAGATTTTATCTGCGCGCTTGCCGGGTTTGAGTTCTGTTGTCTTTCGCAAGGCTTCGACGACTAACTGAGTTTGGTCCTTCATAAATAAATGAAATAGATACGTTTCGTTTTAGAGTGTGATCTTCATTTCATTGTCGAATGCGCGAGACTTCTCGCGTTTCGAAGCTTCCGTTGCAGCTTTGATCTTACCCTTGTTACATTCAGCGCAAACATAATAGACCACTCTAGGGTTTTTTTGTTTTTTTTTAAGAAACNGACGTACTCATTCAAGCAATCTACATTGAGATATATTCTTATCGCGAATAAGTACTTTTCAGCTCAAGTGACTAAAAAAAATTCAAAACTTACCAGCAAAAGAGGAAGAAAACAACACAACGGAAGCAGCAGATATCGAAATGCCATCACGTTTGTACAATGACTCTTAAAAATCTGCAAATTAAAAAGCAGATCGAGCAACTGAAAATTAGATGCGCCAACTGTTAATTGAAACTTGAAAAAGAACTGAGAAATACGCCAGGAAAACATTTGGAATGAACGATTTAGTTTTAAACGATCAATAGTGCGTGGTACGTTCAGGTGTATCGTGAGATTTTATCTGCGCGCTTGCCGGGTTTTAGGTCGGTTGTCTTTCGCAAGGCTTCGACGACTAACTCAGTTTGGTCCTTCATAAATAAATGAAATAAATACGTTTCGTTTTAGCGTGTGATCTTCATTTCATTGTCGAACGCGCGAGACCTTTCGCGTTTCGAAGCTTCCGTTGCAGCTTTGAGCTTACCCTTGTTACATTCAGCGCAAACATAATAGACCTCTCTAGGGTTTTTGTTTTTTTTTAAGAAACCCAAATCTCTCAACACAACTGGAAATAACACCATAAATTAAGTACAATGGCCAAGTTTGAGAGTCATATCTGCGAAAAAAAAAAAACAAAAAACAAAAAAAAACGAAATATGGTTCCTCAAAGTCGGGACGTTCAGTTTTGGATGCTGGGGGCATAAACTTGACCCTTTGAAATATACACGCATCTCAGTGCAAACAAGTTTCCGAGTTCGCGAAGCTTGAACTTTGGAACTTTGCAAGATACGACTGAAATACTTGGCTAGCTGACAAATTTTTGAGCTTTGTGTTTCTTCAGCAGCGTCAAGCAATTTTCGTTACGCGGCTGTCTGAAAAGCTAAAAACCCGTGGATGAAGGGTCTTCAGCGGTGTGTTCATGTTTGCACTAAGTTCAATCGACAAAATATTGACGTTTTCAGTGTACATTGTGCGGAAAATATCTAAAACCTAAAAATATTACCTAGTTTCTAGTATTTAATTTTGTTGAAGTAGTTTCAGTTCATCAAAATTCGAAATCAACACTGAAGATAGATAGAAAGAAAATTACGGATATCCAGCAAATACTGTACTGATGGTAATAACGTGTAAACGCTCTCAGAGGTTTTCGTTTCCAAAGTTCTACGCAGTCTAGTAATTAAACGTGTAAATAGTAGTTTACAGATTCGGTCAGGCAAGCTTCATGAAATATACGTTTGCCTTACGGGAAGATGTTAAGAAATCGTGATTTCTTATTTCTTCCTTGTCCAGTACGTTAATAATGTCTGATTTGTTCATCATTGGAGATAACGCTTTGGATATATGGATTTTACATCCCCCTAACTGTTTCTTAAGTAAACTAACCGCTTTTGAAGTTCAAAGAGTTTTCTTCAACGAAGAGCAAGACCGTCAACTTTCCACACAGAGAGCAGAGGAGTCCTATTTGACCGTAAGTTCACAGTACAATTGCAGCGCGAATCGATCCGTTGTTGATTCGAATCACTTTACGTGATGCGTTCGTCTTCCGCAACTGTTGAAACCCAGTCCGTAAGATGAAAGCTGCCGGTATCGCTGCCCCTTCAGGTGGGCGACGACTATAATATTTCCGGGTAAGGCAGACGCGTAACACGACAGCAGTTATAAATAACAAAAAAATACCTTAAGTTTGGATGTAGACCGGTTGAATCAGATGTGAGTATTGCGGTTTTCTTTCATTGAGTGGTTTAACGAGTTCCTTTTACTGTGTATTAAACGTTCGTCCTCACACGCAAACATACGCAAGTCTGGCCTAAAAACGTGTTCAACTCTTAACCTCAGTTAAACGTGTTCAGGCCAGTGGAACTATAAAAAGACAGGATGGTAATGGAAAACCAAAGCAAATGGGTATTACTTTCGACACTCATGTGAAAACTGCTCGCCACTGACACATCACGACATCTTGCTCAACGTCATCCAGTAATTGTTACGGCCGGTAATTGCCGTGTTTCGGTTGAATCCCGAGAGCCCATGTAATTCTAACATGTGTACAGCGAATTAACAGAAACCACGACGGCATTAACGATAGGGGTTCTAATGGATTACATGTAGCAGAGATATCTAGTAAGGTACCAACTAGATTATACTTTCTTAGACAACTAAAAAGGGCAAACATTCCGACCAAAGACCTCCTAACATTTTACAACACCTGTATTCATCTTACAAAGGAAAACGCTTCAGGGCTCTCGAATTTTGCTTGCCCTTGGCAAGTCTTAGTTGGTTCTTCTAATGATTTAGTTGGCAGATGACTTGCTTGATCTCTTGCCCATTGGGCAAGTGAGAATGTTAAGTTACTTGCCCAGAAGTAGCCTGCGAACAGGCGTCCCTTTCCTGAAGTACTCAGACGGTGATACGCAAATGTTCCGGCATGCCCTACACTGCACCATACGTTGCGAGGAGAATCAACAACTGGACTCCAAAAATAGCTGGATATCGAGCCAAACAGTTGAAGAGAATTCTGATTTTTAATTTCTAATGAGGTCTCCACCGTTTGGCGATAATATCTTAAAATGGCGCCAAGAAAAAGACATCTACAGCGTTATACACGGAACTGCTTTTTCATGAAAAAAAAAAGTCTTGAATTGGTCAACCGTGTCTAGAATGGGATTTTGACACTTAGGATATAGGTAGAGTAGAGCATTATATTCTCTCTGTTTTGCTCATCAGTCGGAGAAAACAAGAACCAGCTGAGGGCAAAATCCAGTCTCCGAGACTTGAATAGACTCAGGGCTTTCGTTACCACGTTACCAAAAATCGTTACGATTTCTAACAACGTCCCACTAGCGTGACAATTAACGAAGTCTCGATTTTTGTTTTGTTTTTTTGCATTATAAGAGTAAGAAATTCTCCAAGTGGTGGACTGTGAAGTCATTAGCAATGCGATAACAATTCGCCATCTTTGATATTAAGATTTTCTATGTTGTCCAAAAGTTCCCATAATTTCAAAATTCGTTTCAACTCTTAAACTCGATTGTAGCCCCTTCCAGAACCTCAAGAAAACTCGCTCGACATTTAGGATGACCTGTATAGTAGTCTCCAGTTTTAAATTTTATTGACAAATTGAAATCACAGTACATGTTCTCAGCCTGAAATGTCAGTCATCTTCCACCCACATCCTTCCCACCCGGGGTAGGTGACAGAAATTTCAAGTTAATCTTCTCAGTGTTTTTGATTTTCCTGCCTTTCCTCCACCCCCTCACCGTCTTTAATCGCCTCGCTCTTAGCCAACTCTTTGCCAATTACTTTCCGTACGTAAACACGCCTTGAGTCACGACAGTCTGCGTCAGTCTAATGTTTTAAGGTAATGGCTGGCATTGTGACGTTTTTCCTACATTCTATCCTTGTATTTATTACTTACAGTTCACAAGTAGACAGCGAAGATGTAGTTTTCACATTTTATTTTAGCAGTCAGCACTAACAGCAGTTTTATCTGTACCAACTCTTTGATCTTTCTAGTCAAAGTTTGGTCAGCACACAGAAGACAAGTCTTCCTTCGTGTTTTTAGCAGCTTCATTTACAATTTACATTTATTCAGACAATCAGAGACGTCAGATATGTCAGTCAGTGCAAAGATCTTAATGTCACACCATTATTGACTGAAAACGAAGTCCTACAGAATTTTTATTTCACTTCGTTGGCCCTAACTTCGTCAGATAATCTAATCAAATTTCAGTGGAACAGTATTCGTAGACTACTTTTAGTGGGTCCATTCTGCTTGTAAAAGATATATATGACTTTATATAATAATCAAATGAAAGCGCGCGCTCTGATTGGTCAATCAGCTATGGTTTATTGTGCCAGTAAACTCATGGAAATTCTCGTGTCTTCTGAATTATTATGTAAAAGCAATATGGTTTAGTGGCATGATACCACTTGGGATGTTGGGAGAACACTCGAAGAATTCGTAAATCACGAGCCGCAGGCTCGTGATTTACGAATTCTTCTCGTGTTCCTCCAACATCCCGCGTGGTTTATCAGCCTATAAATCATAAAAAATTGTGGTCTATTGCATAAATAAACCCTCGTTATTCTTAAAAGTTGTGTACTTACCTGTGCTTAGGCTCCAAGTGTGTGTAACAGCGTTTTTGTAAACATCAGTTTTGTATGCGTAGGGTCGATAGCTGTTTCCAGGACTACCCCACAGTACCCACAATCCCTGCTCGTCAACAGCTAGGTCCATTCCACTGTATCCATTCCATCGGTAGTAGTTCTTCCTCGGTGTGTAACAACTCATACTTATTTGGGGGTCAATGCGCTGTGTATGCAGATTGTACTTGATAATCTAGGCCGAATTTCCCCTGTTAATTGATGCAACAAAACTGGGCTTTAGAAATGTTAACTGGCGAACTGATTTATCTTAATGAGCCCAAAAAAACTCAGTTTGCCCAGATTAAATTTTCCTGTTTCACTAATGTTTACTTCTTTAAAAGTTTTTCAGTTTCGTCACTGGCGATACGTTAAGAAATTGGCTTCTTTCAGTGTCGCTTTTTGTTCTGGAGAATAGTAAATGATAGATTCAAGGTCAGAGAACTGACGTGGATGACATGAATTTTGAGTTATTTGGGAAGTTCCCAATTTGTGAACTTCACATTCTGGGGTAGAACCGGTTAATTGTACCTGTAATACAGGTATGGTCCATACACCACTGTTCCAGTTCCGTTCCAGTTGTAAGGCAGTTTGTACGTCTCACGAGTCACACCTGCCTTGAACATGTCCATGTTTTCAAACTCTTCCAGTACGTTTTTTGAGTAGAACGATTCCATAACGAATATGGTCTCTGTACCCATGATTCCTGGTGGGTCTTTCATCCAGGCTCCATATGTGTACTGTCGTGCATTGTGAGTGACAGGTTTACCAACAGACTTGATATTAGTACAGCTGTCTGCAAGAATTCGACAAAAAATCTAAGAAAAAGAGGCATTATGTTGTAGACCAAATTCCTCCTTTACTCGTGACAGGAGCCTGCTGCAATTCTATATGAAGTCCAGAATTTCACTTTTTTTTACGCATTTTACAGTGATAAGCTAATTATTTCCTTGCACTTTGCCACAACTGTTACGCTAAATATATCAGGAGCAATATCGCAGTAAGCACTACCAGCCTTTTTTTTTTCCAGAAAATTTGCGAAACAGTCAGAAAAATAAAATCTAGAAAAATTGGTTCTATAGTTGTTAATAAAATAAGGGTTATCAACAAACCTCTCTGGAGAATGTAAACGCTCTCCTTTGCTTTTTGCAAGTCGTGCTGTTCATCAACAATCATTCAAAGCAACTGAAAATCAAAAGAAGCATAAGAGTCTCGCTTTGATGTGGCAGCATACTTAGGGAATCGGGTTAAACTAAGTTAACAGGGCTGTTTGTACGCAATCTTTGTAGCGAAGCTATCTTACCTGCCTGTCTTGACTTTTAACTCCTAACTGTTTTTAGATATATTGGGATTTCAAGCTACAACAGTGACACGGCTTCTTTTGAATAAGAACTGGTATTCACTTCTCTTTTATTTCAATTGTACACAGTTCGTCGAAAAAAAACATTTAGGAAAGACTTACATGTTTCTTTGCCAGTTTAAGAGCAAGGTCTTGCACAGATAACTTAGACGGGTGATGGCGATGGTAAGAAGACAAGACTCGCTTGGTCTGAGGATTGATCGAGGAGTTGCAGAGCACATCACCCTAGAAAAATAACATAGTATATGAAAAATTTAATCAACTCTAGGGATTGAACAGAAAAAATACTAAACAGCTGATCATCTGGCTGACGTGAGTGGAATTAAAACTCAAGGCGAAACAAACGCTTAGTTCGCTATTCCTTGGTTCTCTATTTCACAGAGTGACCATCACCTAATTTTCCATATTTTTTTGCCAACTAGGAAATATTTTGGTGATGTACAGGTGTACTGCCAAATCAAATTGTCAAATCTGATATTAAAGGAACTCAGTCACGGTTTGCGCATATTGAAAAGTTTAGCCTCAATTTTTCATCTTCGTCGTTTGTAATCCGTGTTAATCTTCTCCATTCTTAGCCATCCTTGTTTCTTTATGGTTTATCATCATCTCTTTAGTGCTTTTTTTATCTTATTAAACTGTTATTTTCAGGTTTCCCACCATTTAACGGTAATTTTGTATGTGGCCAAAATAACTCAAAATACCGTGACTGAGCCCCTTTAAGAGAGAGGTGATGTTTCACTAAAGAGAGGTGATACTTGGAGCGAAACCTGAAAACGCTAAAATCATGGTCTAAGTGTTCTCGCGCAACATGGATCATTTGTCTGTAGCGCGCAGTTGAAACTGGCCGAGACGAAAACGTAAAAGGAACTTAACTTGACTTGAATTGATCTTGATCTAGGAGCAGATATGTACACCACTGTAACGTAACCAAATCATTGCAAACTTACCAACAACAGAACAAGCTGGAGGCAAAAGAGTGACAGATATCGAAACATCTCGCAGGGAAACTGGTTCTTCTAATCTCCAAATACATGAAGCTAAGTTATAACCCCTTACTGCCTTGAGATAAGCAGCGAGGACTGAGTTCACTGGCTTACCCGAAGACTTCAAAACTCTCTTTCCTTCAGCTATATAAAGGTCTCCCTTTGGTAGGCAAGTTCTTCCCTCGAAAAGATTCGATGACAAATGGCCTTCGTCTCCTCCAGCCCACCTCATTATATGTCCTGTTTTCAGTCGGCGATGAATAAGGAATGCGAAGTTTTTCATGTTCTTATGGCCCTTGCGTAAATAACTTCTACATATGACGCGTTCGTTTTGTATCGTTTTACCAAGGCAGAAAACATACAGGAACTTTGAGAGGTACTGGTACGTATTTGCAGTCTATGGTAGAATGAAATAAGATCAAAACAAACTCGGCCATGGGGAATTGTTTTCTTTCGCGAAAAAAGTCGTTTTTGAGTCGTTTTGAGTATAGTAAATAAAGGTAGAAAACTTTCACGTTCTCATTTCAAAAATCAAAGAAGCGAGCTCCGTTTTTTCAATTCTACGTCTTAGTGACCACTGAATAACAGAGTATATAAGGAGGTAAAAATCTGTACTACCTTGTTTCAATAGGATGAAGACCACAAAAGAAAGCTTAAGCTTACGCAGTGGTATGCAATATATGTTCTAACCTTTCCAGAGGCAAAAGTGTTTTTTATATATAGGCCTTACGACCGAGAAGGACTGACCCAGAGAAGCCACATGGTGTGAATAAAAAAACTCGTTCTTTAAACCGGCTTTTCTAACTAATGGATTTCGCTTGTTCGGCTCAGCTGACAATGACGAGACTCAAAAATCAAGCTTTCCTGACTAGCAAAACTTAGAGACTGTGAAAATGCACAAACAACTGTCAGTATTGTAGCCGCTGGGCTATTTAAATATAAACAAAATTAGTGATTCGCCGAGGTGAGGATAAACTGTATTTCGCAGCTCCGTGGACTTGAGTACCAGTTTGTAAGGTTCACGAGGATAAATAGATTTCTCTGTACAGCGGGTGTACCATAGAATCTGGTTGTAGCTGGGCTCAGTTTGTTCTGTAATCAAATTCGGGTAACTGGAATCCAAACTTATGTTTGCGCTTGATCATATATACAGGTAACCAAAACGAACTGAAATTATGTCAGCAATGGAGGAGTATTTTCAGTTACCGATACCTCGATTGATGGACAGTACCCCAATTTCACGTTTTAATTTGGCTGTCTAACAGTGTAAAATCACATGGAAGTTGTCTTATTTCTCAAAGCGGCGTTTTTTTGGTTGATTTTATAATCAGTTTGACTGAAACCTCAGAAAAAGGCAATCTTACCCACCGGTTTTTTCGGAAAAATTCGTAACATTGTTACCTTAATTAACTTTCCAGCTGAAAGCGTTGGGCGCCCTTTCCGTTTTCCAGAAATTTAGAAACAGGAGCAAATGGAGTGAAAACTTCATTGGAAATCTTCAGAAAACACTGAAAATTATTGAATACCACAGAAATGAAAAATGCGATCTATTCGCCGAAAAATCAAGAAATTCTGGGAAGAAAAACAAATGAAATAGAAGCTTCCGGTAAGACATTTTCGGAAACTTTATTTTCAGAGGTTGAAAGAGAATAAACGCCAAAGTTCGCAAAATAAAATTTGAAAGTTTTTAGCTGACGTCCTTGTTAAAATGTGTTTTTTAATAAATCATCCCATACGTTTCCCATTGTATTCGGTCCAAAGTGTCTTGAATTGAATTTGGCCAAAAGAGGTCTCGATATTACGATAAGTATTCAATATAATCGCAAAAATTTCCAAATCTTATCCTTTGTTCTCGATTTAGAATCCCTTCACCAATTCCTCGTCTCTATGCTAAAATCGAGAGGTGTTTTTGCCGCTGACTTAGTATTTTATAAAAAGAGCATAGATCTTTCACGACACTTTTTTATTCAACAGTCAACGTAATCCGTAGATGAAAAACCGAATTTGAAAACTTTCAGCCACATATAGTTAAGGCTGCGCATGGAAAATAATCGATCTATGAGCTGTAAAGATGAGTTTCAAAACAGTTTATTTCATAGCGGGAAAAATGACAAAGCGCAAATTGTAGAGCTACAGTTTTGATTCAATATTTTTGCAATGAATTGAGAGTCGTTTCACTTTTATCGTCTCTCACCATAGGTGTGCTCTATTCATCTTCTCAAATTTTAGTCGGTCTTAACTGTTTCAAAGTCGGTGTTTGATAGAATCGAAATCATCTAGGTTATGTTGACTGAAAATCTCTATCGCCTCAGGTCCTTTCCAAGAAAAAAAATTTGAAAGCGCGTCTTTGTCAGAACAGTGCACATAATGTACATGTAACTCACCTGCAAAAAAATTAAGCGGATTTATTTAAGAATTGTGGAAAGAGAAAAGTGCAATTGTTATTTTTGGAATCAAAATGTAGGGGACGAGAGATGATTTTTCTCCGTAACTCCGCGTGTTCGCATGAGACCCAGGACTTGACTGACTCCTGGTAATATGCAGAAAACGCCAGCCGCGTACATTATTTATTACGAAGTAGTTTTCTAATCACTGCTTTCAGAAGTCATTTTGAAGGCATTTTTTAACGTAATTTACTGCCTCAAGTCTTTTCCAAGAAAAAAATTTGAAAGCGCGTCTTTGTCAGACAAAAACACACACCCGTCACACGTCATTTACAAAGACAAGTGTACCTGTGGACAAACATACATTGGCGAGCACGCAACCTGGAGGTTCGTGTTAAGAACATTCAGATGTTAATTAGCAGTCGGAGCCAGCCAAGCACATCAGAAAACACCCTAACCACAAGGTTATGTGGGAAGTTTTAACCACCGCCTATTCATGGTTAAAAAGGAGAATAAAAGAAGCGTTCTACATCGCACGCTTCCGTCCAGAACTAAACAAACAAGTGCAATCACTGGACCTCACCTTGTTCCCCATGGGAACAGGTATACTTAACTGGCATTACCTGAACTACTGTACAAGTTTGTGAAAATATTACGCCCTCTACATACCCAATTTATTTCACAGTCATCGAAACAAGAGTAGGAATTGAGAGGAAAACGTTGATTATGTACTGTAACAATGAGTTTCAAAATAGCTCACTTTAAAGAGTGGTTCGTATGGCAGAGCGTAAATTGTAGGGGTGTAAAGTTTAATTTTGAACCAATATATTTGCAAACAACGAATTTAGGGTGCTTTCATTGTTATCGCGTCACTTAATAGGTGTGCGCTCTCATTTGTTTCAAATTTTAGTTGGTTTTTGCTGTCTTAAAGTCAGGCTTTTTGATTGAATCGAAATTATCCAGGGAAAAGAAACTGCCTCGCTCATATATGCTTGGTGAGCACGAAATCGTCTTTAATTCTCCAAATTCGCAGGATATCGAGATTTCGTTTCAGCGATAATCCTTGCACCCGGCCGGCTCGCCTTTCGTAAACTGAGTCTAGAAATCTGGGTGAATATTCCTTTAAAACTGTAACCAAAGGTGCAACTCTTTGTGCGGTTACTAAATGATCGTAACGAAACCAGGAGCTCGGGTTTATTCAGAAAATCCATCAAGTTGAACTTATCCTTAAAAGTTTCTTGAAGGAAAGATATCGGTTTGTAATATGCCAGAGGATGTATAGGCTCCTCATATATTTTCAGCATTTTCGATGCTTTTAGCCGTATTCAAATTTTCTTGTTGCCAGTATGTCAGTTAATAGCGATTGAAATAAAAGGACAATCAACAAAGCCGTTGTTAAACCAATTTTTAATTTGATTTTTGGATGCCTTCGACTGAGAGCAATGAAAAATATTTCAGTTAATTAAAATGGC